GATGGAGGGTTGGCTCTATTAATTTATTACGATATTAGCTCAATATAGATCCAAGTTCAGGAATGTAGGGTGTAGATGGAGTTTGGGTAGAGGTGAGAAACAGTAAAGGTAATAAATCACTTCTGGGAATGGTGTTTAAGCCTCCTAACAAAAGCCACATGGTGGGAAGCAGCACAAAGGCAGAAATAATAGCAGCTTGTCAGAAAAGTGATCGTCGTAGGAGAATAATAGATGGACAAGCGGTTCTTTTTTCGTCTGGGAATGCAGATTTTAATGATAAGGCTTACATTTATTAACCATCCCTCATTATCTTTGAGAAGGTAATGCTGAGCTGCTTTCTTGAACCATTCTTTGTGATAGAAGTACTCCGCATTTGGGATTCCAGTATGTTAGCCAAGTAAGAGTGAAGGAACAACAATATAGCTCAAAGCTGTGTGGCTTGGAGGGGAACTTGCAGATGGTGGTGCTCCCGTGCATCTGTTGTGTTCATCCTTTCTACCAGCACTCATGCTAATTTTTTTTTTCTCGGTGAGGACTGCCAAAGTCCATGCGTGGTACCAACTTCCAGAACTGGAAGTCAATGCTGTGAACCACTTCAGCATGCCAATCGCTTGGCATAGCCCCTCGAGGGGAGCTTAGAGAGAATGTTGCTTGTCAGTGATAGAGGTCACTGGTTTAAAGTGCTGCTGGCTAACGGTTGCTGTGTAGCTGCAATGCTCCTAGTAAATATTATGACTGCATGGGTAGTGAAAGAAGTGAATGTTGATGGTGATGGATGGGTGCTACTCAAGAAGACTTCTTTGTATTGGATAGTGTCAAACTTCTTGAATGTTGTTGAAGTTTCAATCGTCCAGGTGAGTGGAAAGTATTCCTTAAAAATCCCTACATTTGCCTTATAGTTGGTGGTTGGGCTTTGGGGAACTTCCCGGCCACAGAATTCCATGTTTCTGACCTGCTTTTGTAGCCACAGTATTCATACAGATGGTTCAGTTCAGTTTTTGATCTGTGGTGACCCTTGTATCATGTTGATTCTGGGGTATTTGATGGCGTTAATTCTGTTGAATATTAAGCGGACATGGTTAGACTCTTTCTTGTTGAAGAGGACCATTGACTAGTACTTGAGTAGTTACAAACATTACTTGTCATTTTATCAGTTCAAACTTGAACGTTGTTCAGGTCTTGTTGCATATAGACATCGATGACTCCTACGTACCTATGAATAGAACTGAACATTCTCAAATCTCAGCAAATATCCCCATTTCTGACTTTATTATGAAGCAAAATCCTGAGGTTGAAATGATTGACCTCCAACGACTGCAGTCCTCATCCTTTGTGCTAATGTGATTCCAGTCACAGAACATTTTCCCCCAATTCTCACCGGCTTCAGTTTGATCAGGGCTCTTTGATGCTATTGTGGGTCAAATGCTACCTTGATTCAAGGACAGTCAATCTCAGCTTAACTGTGGTGTTTAGCATTTTTCATTCTTGGACTAAAGTTGCAATGAGGTATGAAGCTGAGTGGCCTTGTGGGACCCAGGCCAGGCACTGATCATCAGTTTATCACAGAGTAAATGATGTTTGATAGTACAGTCAACAACACCTTCCGTTGCTTGGCTGATGATTGTGTGCACTCTGATTTAACAGATTGGGCTCTTGCTGCTTGGGAAAGTACTTGGGAAAAATTTCCACATTGTTGGATAGATGCCAGCATTGCAGCTGTACTGGAAAAACCTGGCTAGAGGTGTGTCTGCTTCTGGAGGAGTAGTCTTCGTTACTATCTCCAGAAAGTTATCCAATGCCCATAGCCTTTGCAATGTACAGTGTGCTCAGCTGTTTCCTAGTATCACATAGATAAATTGATTTGGCTGAAAGCAGCTATTATAATGCTTGGGATCTCAGGAAGAGGCCAAGTTGTTTCATTTACTTCTAGCTGAAGATAGTTGTTAACTTTTCAGAGTTTTCTTTTGCACTCATGTGCTGAAATGATAATGGTTTGGGAGCCTTCTCCTCCCAGTATTAACATGATCCTTCAGCTCTATTATGGTGTTTGTATTCTTTAGCACGCATGTAAACCTGTGCTGTACCTTCCTTTCTTTCTGCCTTCTTAAAAAAAATTCATTCATGTAGGCATTGCTGCCTGGACCAGCATTTATTACCCATCCCTTTTCCCTTGAGAAGTGGTTGGTGAGCTGCCTTCTTGTACTGCTGCAGTCCATTTAGTGCATGGACACCCACAATGCTGTCAGGGAGTGAGATACAGGATTTTGACCAAGCGACATTAAAGGAGCATCGACATATTTCAAAGTTACAATGGTGAGTGGTTTGGAGGGGAACTTGCTGGTGGCTCATGTTCCAATGTATTTGCTGCCCTAGTCCTTCTAGATGGCAACTGTCACAGCTTCGGAAGGTGCTAAGGAGCCCCGGTAAGTTCTTTTAAACTTCTTACATGGGATGTGGATATTGCTGACAATGTCAATATTTGCTGTCTGTCCCTAATTATCCTTGAGCTGATTGGCATTCTAGGCTAACTCAGATTAGAGTGGCAGACAATCAGGTCAGGGGTAATTAGGGATGGGGGGAGGTCAAGCCCTTGTGAGGAGTGTGAGCCCACCATGGTCAGGTGCTTATGGACTGTGATGTTGAACTGTTAGCTGTGTTTCTTTGTTTTTCTACTTTTTAGTAAAAAGGACTGTAACGTTTAACTTTTTAACTTTGTTTTCTTTATTTTTCTGCCTTGTACCTAAGATTCTGTACCTAGGATGGTACCATAAATGGTGACTTGTAAATTTTCATTATATTCATGTGAGTATATGACAATAAACCTAATTCAATTCAATTAAAGTCAACCACGTTGCTGTGGGTCTGGAGTCACAGGTAGGCCAGACCAGGTAAAGATGGCAGATTTTCTTCCCTTAAGAACAATACTGAACCAGATGGGTTTTTATGATAATTGACATGGTCTCATCAGGCTAGTCTTTTTTATTCCAAATGGCATCATCTGCCATGGTGGGATTTGAACCCATGTCACTGTAGCATTAACTTGAGGATAACTATCTCCAACAAGGTGCAAACTAATGATTGTCCTTCGACTGTCTGTGGCATCACCATCTCCGAATCCCCCACTGTCAACATCCTGGGGTTACTATTGACCACAAACTGAACTGGACCAGTGACATAAACACAATGGCTACAAGAGCAGTTCAGAAACTAGGAATCCTTCAGTGAATAATTCGTCTCCCGACTCCCCAAAAGCCTGTTCACTATCTGCAGTGCCCAAGTCAGGAGTGTGATGGAATACTCCCCACTTGCCTGGATGAGTGCAGCCCCAGCAACATTCAAGAAACTTGATACCATCCAGGACAAAGCAGCCCGCTTAATTGTCACTACATCCACACCATCTGCTCCCTTCACCTCTGATGCACAGGAGCATCAGTGTGCACCCATCAGGGCTTAGTCCCTTCCTATCACTGTAATCTCCTCCAACAATACAAATCCCTACATCCCTGTCTGCTGATGATTGCGAATTTTTCTAAATTCAATTTCTCCACCATTGGCAGCAATGCCTTCAGGTTCCTAGGTCACAAGCTCTTGATCTTCTCAAGCCTCTCAGTCTCTCCTCTCTCCTGCTTTAAAACACTCCTTAAAACCCGTTTCCTTGGTCAAACCTTTGGGCACCTAGCCTGATATCTCCTCACATGGCTTTGTGTGAAATTGTGCTCTATAACACTGCTGTAAAGCACCTTAGGATGTTTTATTACATTAAAAGTGCTTTATATGTGCTAGGGGTTGTTGTTCTCTCTGCTTGGCAGACATTTTGGAGGGGGAGGAATGGATTGCCCTCACAGAGCACTATTTCACCATTTTAATGTTACTCTGACGACATTAATTCCCGAGAGAGAAGGCAGGAACCATGAGTCAGTCCATGTGCCCGGCAGATGCCTTCAATGACACAAATTTACAGACCTGAATGGTTAAGTAATGGGCTGGCAATGCTGCTTACCCCTGATAAATAAATATGAATGAAGAATGAATGTTGGCATCAAGCTTAAACAGTGTCCTGATAGGTAGGCACTCTAGCTATCAGGTTGCCAATGAAATCGATCACATCTAATTTTGCAGTTTGTTTTATCTTACTTACCTTCTGGAGAGAGCTTGGTTGTGGAGGCAAGGTCATTGGGTTTGGGAGCTTGGCAGTGGCTGGGGGCCCAGAGCGGGACTTTGGTGCTTGGTGATGAGACAGCTGGTGAGCCAGGCAGAACTCTAATGGTTGGCGGTATTGTAGCATTGTCACGGTCTGGAGTGGTCAACAGTGAGGTGGTTGGTGAGCTGGCTGGGACTCTGGCAGTGGGCAGCGAGGCAGCAGCGTGGAGAAGGTCAAGCCAAGCTGTAAGATCAAGCAAAAATCCCCAATATTAAAACATATGGACAAAACCCTGCATTTTGGGCAGGGTCCTGGACTTTCAAATGTTTTAGAAGAAAAGGGACAGTTGAGCTGAGTTCTGCGGGAAATACTCAACACAACCAGATCGATGGAGACTGCTGTCTGAGACTATTGTTCAGCCTGGAATTGCAATATACATCTCCTCTCTAAAAGGACAATCGGTTGAAACCACCAGACCCTAGCCCAGAGATAGCAAGAACTGCAGATGCTGGAGTCAGAGACAACATGGTATGGAGCTGGAGGAGCACAGCAGGCCAGGAAGCATCACAGGAGCAGGAAAATTGATGTTTTGGGTCGGGACCCTTCTTCATCCACTTTCCTGCTCCTCTGATGCTGCCTGGCCTGCTGTGTTCCTCCAGCTCCACACTGTGTTGTCTCCGAC